GTAATTATATGTATTAGTTTATGATGATTCAGAGAAGTTCATGTAGATCTGGACCCTTATCCATGACTATTAGAACTTTTAAGTAATTTAAATTATAAATATCATTTAAAATTTAATACCTTTCATATTTTTTAATATTTTTATATATGATAAATTAAATCAGTGATGATGATCTTGAATTTGATTTGCCTTGATTGCCATATTGTATATATAATATAAAATAACTATGTCTACCTCTATATTAAATATTTTTAACACATAATTGAAAAGTGATAAATTTATATCATCAGTCTTACTATATGGTTTTAGTTATAAATTTATCATAATATATAATCTCAAGTCTTACTATATGGTTTTAGTTACAAGATTTGTAGTAGTATTTGTTTTCACATCGAATCGTAAAGGTAAGGTGTATCGTTAAAAAAATAATAATATAATTTCTTAAGAAATATTTAAAATTTAAAAAATAATTATATGTTTTTTTTTTTTTCGAAACGAAGAAAAAAATAATTATATGTTTACAAATTTTAAATGTAATTTTTTAATTACAAAAATCGCGTACAATAATGATTAAATATAAATTACAAGTAAGCACAATAAATTCAGTCTGGGCAATTAATTAACTAGGCTCGCCTTTGTATGGATCTGTTAGTATATATTACAGGGAACTACTATAGTCTTGTTGACAGAATGGTTCCGTCAATGGTGGTTACCATATATTATCCACACAACATAATCTATAGGTGTATCCAATGGTAAAAAACACTGACGGTATCATCCCACAACGAGACCTTAGTATTTTCTATATTTATCCTATGTTAGGCAAAAATTCAAAATTGGTCCTATAATTTGGTCATTGTCCAAAAAATCACCCCTATATTGACCACTTTCAATTTAGATCATATAATTTGTCGATTTCATCAATTTTAGTCCTTTTTTATCCGTAGCCTGGATTAAAAAGTGACGTGGCATGAAAAAAAGACCAAAATTGATGAAATCGACAAATTATAAGACCAAAATTGACGTGCCACGTAGATCATAATCACGCCATGTAATCTTAAAAAACTGACACGTCATGCCACAGTACTTTTTAATCCAGTGTTCAGATAAAAAGGACTAAAATTGATGATCTCGACAAATTCTAGGATTTAAATTGAAAGTGGTCAATATAGAGGTGGCTTTTTGGAGAGTGACCAAGTTCTAGAACCAATTTTGAAATTTTGCCTCCTATGTTACTAAAACTTAAGGATAGTGTAATTACAAGGTCAATTAATTACATTTAAACTTTTCAAGTATTTGAGTAAAGGCAGGTTTCAATTAAACAAGTAGTATTGGTACAACATTAGACGGGTCATAGATTAACACGGTGAAGAAACTCTGCATATATACTGTACATTCATATAGGGCTCATTTACTTTGCATTATGGGAGAAGACAAATTATCAAGACAATTTTACATGTCAGCAATCAATCCTTTGTTTACTTTTCGGGTTGAAATTTACATAAATGAATCTCATCTTTACTTCAATGGATTAAAAGTGACATGATAAACAAGCAAAAGACTATTACAAAAGAATGTAGGGATAACTTTTTTTTATTATTTTTTATATAACACAGTAGGGTCAACTTTTTACATTGCCTCTAGCAGGAGTGTAGGAGCCAAATTAATAGCCATGGATTCATCTAAGTAGAAAAGAATCTGGACACACACATATATACATAAACACATATCCTTCTTCATTTTATTTTATTTTTAAGGTGGATGAAATGATGATGAAGCGGCTTAGTAAGTACTCATCAGCAGCCCTCGTTGTTGTTATTGTGGCACTGCTAATTTCCCTTGTCCCGTTGTCCTCATCCACCAGCTTTAGCGTCGAACTAATCGACCCCGCCAACCCTAAACACCCTTTTTATGACCCTCGTCAACTTAACACGATCTTCACACCACCCATCAACACACCTGTACTAACTTTGGGGTGGCAGTACTACGTGAGCTTCTCGGTTGGCTCCCAGGCCGTCCAACTGTTGGCAGCCATGGACCTCGCCAGCGACCTCACGTGGATACAGTGCACACGCTGCAACCCCTGTTCCCCACTCCCCAATGGGGACCACGACTTCGAGCCCCAAAGTTCCAAGACGTACAGCCCTGTACCCTGCAGCCGCTGCCTGCCGCTGTCATCAGGCTCTTCCAAGTGCAGCGGCACGGCGTGCAGCTACTCTGTTGGGCATGCCGATGGCTCATATTCCAGCAATGGAGCTCTCTCCACTGATTGGTTCAAGCTGGGCAAGACGAATGTCCCCCACCCAATCCACTTTGGGTGCGGGAACGCAAACACGGGCCTGTCAGGTGTGGTCGGCCTCGGGGAGGGGTTTGCCTCCATCGTGGGGCAGCTGAACCAGAGGACGTTTTCGTACTGGTTGGTGCCCAGCTCATCCATTCTCACCTTTGGAGGGCCCACCGCGTGGGGCCGTGGGACCCTCACCCTTCCTATGGTAAAAGGGCCCAGAAACGGCCCCCCCGGCTACTACCTCTACCTGCTAGGAGTCAGTGTGGAGGTTAATAATAGCCCAAGGACATCCCCACCCTACATTGGAGCACCGATGCTTGTTAACCCGCAGACGACAGTGACCAGGCTTCCGTCTGTCATCTACAATTTTCTCAAACAGCAGGTGATTAACAAGGTCCATGGACAACTGAAACAAAAAAGAGATCCAACACGAGTATTCGACCTGTGCTATGGTGCCAAAACAAACAACGATGCAAACTTACCTGAAACAATCACTTTAAACTTCCAGGGTGGGAGTGTGAGTCTGCCAAGGGTAAACATGTTTGCTAAACTCGACAATGTTGATGTAGTGTGCTTGGCGGCCCTGCCGGCACAAAAAAACGCCGTTGCAGTCTATGGTAGCTTTGCGCAGACAAACTTCGGCGTGGGATTCAATCTGGAACCTCCGAGGACCGTCTCATTTAGGCGAGTAACGAAAAGGAACTGATCGATGCTATGTCAATCTAAGTGTCGTGTGTCTCGTCTCCTTCACAAATAGTTTAATTTTACTAGTGTCAGCAAACTTATGTTTTTATTGTCATGCATGTTTCCAAACTGAATGAATGAAGAATCTTAATATGTGGGAATTTTCTTTCTTTTTCGTCACAAAATTTACATGCTTTGCATTTTAATAAGTCTTAATTTAATTTGGGAATGGAAAATACGGTTGATTGTGTCCATCCCGTCGACAGATCCTACGGTAATATATTTTAATAAAAATTTAAACAAATATTCTTTTTTTTTTTCCTTCTTTTTCTTTCAATAGTTGTATTCTTTACAAGAAATATTTCTTCAACGATGCTACTAAATAGCTAAGGATGATTTAGTAAGGCTTTCGGCGTGGTAAAAGATAGATTTTTTTGTTGACAAGAATAATGGTGTGATTTGGACATTATCATCAATTTGATTGTACTTTTTTACTTTGTGGAAAATGACTTAATTTATTGGTTGTTCTTGACATTTTTAATAGGGGGATTTCAAAGTAAAATGATATTGTTGGGTGAGAAATCCCGGTAAGGGGGGCTGTCGTGGCTAACTAACTGTAGTCCCAACACTTAAATCCCAACTCTTCACTAAATATACATTAAAATAAAATCTAATGGCTAGAAACTTCTCAAGTTTAATTATTTGAGGTAGTGTCTCATTTTTTCTCCCTTTCACTACTATATATATTTTACTCTAAAAGGAGGAGTGTTTTTGTAAAAATTCATAATGCCTGAAAAACCCTTACATTGACATAAATTTAATGGCAATTTAGTAATACAGTAATATGCATCATATTTTATATTTTTAAGTAGAAAATGAACTACCTAAAAAATTCTTACTTTGACATATTTTTAATGGCAAATTGGTAATATACAAATATTATTAATTAATAACTAATATCAATTAATTAAATACAAATACATGAACAAATCATTCCACACTCCTAAAATAAAATTGTTTTCTTGCACATATCTTTAAAACTGTTTGATAGGATATAGAATTGTTTTAAAAACGTTATTATTTTTAATATTATTTTAATGGCAAAATTGTAATCACATTTCATATCTCTAATATATAAAAGTTCTTTAAAAAATTAAAACTGATCCAACAAAAAAATCATAATAAACACTTATAAAACTAGAAATCGATATTGTTTTTCTCATAACAACCACAAGATATAGAAACATTATTTTCAAAATAACCTATAAAAAATGTGTGATAGTATGCGAGATTAATTGTTGAATGATTGTTCTGCAACATAAACTTCTAATCTATCAACTTCTTTACTACATAAGATCAGAACAATTTTCTGAAATTGTATAATATTAAAACTGAATCGATTTGTTTTCACGTATAATGACATACCACTTTAGCAATATGGATTAATTTTGACCATATAATTATCTACAAACTAATTAAAAATATCTCGAGAATCATGATATTCCTACATGTTGAAATTAATTACTTTTTTATCACAAAATTGTATTCATATATTATCATTATTCATTTATTTATTTATATGTGTTATTACAATAAAATGGTTTTTTTTAAAAAAAAAAAATGTACGGAAAAAAAATTTATATATTTGAGTATAAATGAGAAGATTATAATTATATATAATATAATATATAAATATAAAATTAATTGATATAAATAAGACATATGACCTAAAAAGTGATATACTTAATTTTATGTATTTTTGAACAAACCGAAAAGTTACACACACACACATTAAAAACATATGAAAGAACAATATAAAGTAAAAAATATTAAATCTGATAAATAATATTAAATTTATAATAAAGTTGCAACACTTACTAATAACTATGAAAAAAAAAGTAATAAATAAAAATATTATAATTATTAAAAGTAATTATAGAACTTTTAAAATTTGTTTAATTTTTTGTGCGTATTAGTTCTGTATATAAATTTTAGATGATAGACAACAGTTATTTATACTTTTATCCATGAAGGTTAGAAATTTATTTTTCTTAAAAAATTAATTATTTTGATTTTAAATAACATTTTATTTGCTATTAGTTTTTTTTAATATAATATATTAATGCCATATTTTATACATATACAATAATCCTTTTCATTATGTAATATGTAAGTGCAAAAAATGTAACTCAATAGATAAATTAATAGGTAATTTTGCTATAAAATAATGAGCAATTTTTAAAAAAATCAAGGAAATAAATAGCTCGCTAAAGTTGCCGCTATTTGAGAAATAGCTTTTTTTGGCAGCGTGCCGCTATTTGTATTCATGTGCAATTTAGCCGCTAAATCCCGCTAAATCTCCGCTATAGCTCCGCTATATCTACAGTGCCATAAACGTTTTAGCCCGCTATTTAAAACCTTGAAAAAAATTATATGGATTACTAAGTTCAATTGTTAAATATATTTTTCATATAAAAATTATAAATACAATTATTTAATAACAAAAACTCCTAATAAAAATTATAATATATAAATGAATAAAAAAATAGTACATTGCAATGAAAAATCCAACGGTAAGAAATTAACTTTTTTTTCCAAAGACATCACGGCAAAACATTAACTGGAATTTCTAAATGATATTTTATTTGTATAGCTGTCATGTAAAATTTTATTGACTATTTCAACAGAGATCAAATTACGTTATTTATTCTTGTGTAAATTTAATTATTCCAATTATCATTATTTATTATTGCGTGAATTTGTGTTAAAAAAAATTGGGTCATATTTCAACAGTTGGAAAAAATGTCACCGGAATTGTAAAAATTCCAATAGAAGTTCTATTCGAAATCTACCTGCAGTGGTGGATACAAAATAATTTCATACTTGAGGCATTATTTAGTTAACAGAAAAAGTATACCATTAAAATAACATAATGTCATTATAATTTATAAATTATATGTTTCATAAATTGTCATCTTTCTCATCTGTAATATATGTTTGACACATCAATACAATAACAATAAAAAAAAACCTAACTTTTCTCAATTCAACATCAAATCAATGAAAAAAATATATTTTTAAAAAATATTATGAACAAAAGTTTACTCGACAATATTATTATTGAATTTATGAATTAAAAATATTTAACTAAAATATTAATTAAAAAATTGTAATTAAATATAATATAATATAGGATATACAAATATTTGATATATAAGAGCAAGATAAAGTTTTAAAAAAATATTAAATATAAGAAATAATATGAACAATAACTAAGTTGTGATACATACTAATAAATATGAAACAAACTAATAAACAAAAATAATATAATTAATATAACTAAATATAAACCTTCTAAAAATATACTTATCGATGTAATCGAACTGAGTTGTTAAACGCTTATGTGTAAATTTGAGGTGATAGACAATAGTTATTTTTACATTTATCTATGTAGATTAGAAAAAAAATAAAATCTTTATTATTCTAATTTTAAATAACTTTTTTATTTACTATATTAGTTTTTTTAATATAATATATAAGTATCATATTGAACATATAAAACAAGAAATATTTTAATTATATAATATTTAATATGTAAGAAATGTAACTCAATTTATAAATTAATAGGTAATCTTGAGATAAAATAATGAGTTATTTCTGAAAAAAAAAATATAGGAACTAAAAAGTTCACGTGTTTAATATATTTTTAATAGAAAAATTGTAAACAAAATTACTCAATAAATACTACATAAAAAATAATATTTGAGAGGACTACAAAAACTTGCTATACTGCAATGAAAAACTCAACGGTAAGGTATTCTACTGAAAATTCCAACGAATACATTGCTTTCATTGGAAAATTTCATTGGCTATTCCAATAGAGTTCAAATTAAATTACATGAACTTTAGTGGATTTAAAGATTTCAACCTGAATTTCTATTGGAATTTTTTTTGGACCATATTCAATCGTTGAAAAAATTGTCATTGGTATTATGCAAAAATTCAATAGAAGTTCCATTAGAAAGATAATTGCAGTGATAGATCCAAAATAATTTCATATTAGGAGCATTATTTAGTTAATAGGAAAAAAATATACCATCAAAATAACATGTCATTGCAATTTGTAAATTATACTTTACATAATCTATCACCTTTCTCATTTGTAATACATTTTAATAAATCTTTGCAATCACAATAAGGTAAATATATTTAAGAAACCAAAAGTCAAGATTTTTCTTAAATCAAACTAACAAAATCGTTATATTTGTTGGAATTTTCTCATTTTCTTGTAGTAAAACTAGGACTCCAAATCTATAAAAAAAACAAAAAAATGCATTATATATAATATTGTGTGCAACTATTATTATGAAAATTTTGATACGATAGAAAATATAATACATTCAATGTAATAAGCGTTCAATTTATGATAAGAAGTAATTATTTTTCAAAACAAACAAGATACTTTGAAAGGTCCTTAATTATTTTATTAGTATTATAATAACTAAATAAGAGGTAAGAATGATTACAAAACTTATAACTCTCATTAAATCCAAAAGTAAAAATGCTGATAAAATTACTTAATGTACAATATTCAAAAGTAAAATTACTTAATTTTTTCCTTACATAAATTTGAAACAATTCATATTTATAAAAAAAAAAGTAAAAAAATGGGTGTAAACTTATAACTGTTCCCACGTTTTGGCTAGAGCGTCTAAATCCGATATATGTTTGACACAAGTTTGTCGTAATGCTGAAACTATGGCAAATGCACCTTAGGGTACAAACGAAGCGAAGCAAAGTGAAGTCATAGATAAAAGAAAAGACTAGGTCAGAGAAAGGAAATAAAATAACATTAGCTATGTGAAGTCAATTACTACTGAAAAAAGAACTCTATAATGGTGGTACTATATATGTATTCAGTGAATATGAAAATGATTTAGTTAATTAATATTTTATCAACATTGAAAAAAATTCTAAACTTTTTAATCTAATAATTCATATAAAAAGTACAATTTTATCAAA